ATAATATCAAAACGTTTTGATCTATGCGATGAAATCGGGCGACTAAATAGGCGGCGATTGAGTGGACACACTAGGCGATTGAGTGGACACACTAGGCGATTTCACGGCGATTTTGTCGCCTGATTTTATCGCCCGATTTAATCGTCTAGTGTGTCCGGCCCTTAAGGCACGTTATGCATGCGCTCGGATACCAGCGATTAGTTCAGTGTGAAATATATTCAGTCTAACCTCTATTTGCACCCCCACAGTATGATATCTGTTATAAAAAGAGGTAGATATTTGAAATGATATATTGACAGTAAGAGAGACCATGTCCAGCGTTAATGAGCTGTGGCGGATACCCTACTTTGAATTCTTAGTTGTAAAACTAAGGCAATAACATTTTGTTGAGCTTATACCTTTTAATTAGATATGCAACGGATATTCGATCGCGAGTAGTTTGCCGGTGTGAAAATGCTGAAAAGAGACCATATCTACCACGAACCCGTCGCGCACGTAGCCGATATTAGTTGCTCCTCGATGTTTTTGACGTGAGAACGTTGGACTTGGCCATATAATTATAATTTTAAACTACTCCATGGTACCCGTATAATAATCAAATAATATAATTTTACCGAAATACTATTCACTTCGGCCGATATTGAGCATGCGCGAACTACGACCATATAACTTGTAACAGACGGAAGATTCGAGTGCTATATGTACGTAGTAGATGGTCAGACGGATAAGGAATATTATATCGATGAGGTAGGCACTGAACGATCATGAGAGTGCCACACAGGGCACGGGGAGTGGGCTCAGATGTTCGAGACAACTTCTACTGAGGCGGTTCTGGTGTTCAACACGCAGCCTGTAGATAGTCTCCGGAGTTCCACACAGAGTTAGAGTTAGAGCTAAATCTATAGTAGGCTTACCACAATATATCACTATAACTATTATGTAAAGTTTAAGATACGATTTAGTGTAAACGCGACAGATTCATTCAAATACATATAATTATACATATTCAAATGTTGAGTGTTACTCCTACAATTAAGCAATAAGTCATACTATGCAGCATTGAACGCCAACAAATGTTGAACAAATTGAACTGTATGTGTGTGTTACCATGTGTGTTATAGTGTTATAAAATATTGAAACATCTAATTAAAAAGGGCCATGCAAATATTCATTTCTTGCAGATTTTTGTTGTAGGCCTACAGTATTAACAACACTTTCCCACATGTACAAACTGAAACGCAAAACAGACAAGGACAATAAATATTTTTATTCCTTATTTCCAAATTTCAAAAGAAAAATGTACATTTTTGTTCCGGTACTAGATTCAAGCATTTCCAATATAATTATACACTGTATACAGACATGCTGTATTATTGAGCTAGAATACATGATTTCTTGGGTCATTACAACAAATTATAAAGGCTAATAGGTATCCTGCAATGCTCATCATCAACTCATCTTAGCTTAAGTCCATAACGTTTTCGACTAGAAATTTTGTAACAGAAATATATATGGTGTGTGATCCTGCGTACGTGTTTGTGTGCGCATGCATGAACGTTTGTGCGTGCGTGCGTGCGTTAGCTACAACGTCACGTGATATACGCGGTCAGTTTTTAACGCGTTTATTCGTTTTCAACACAACACTCAATAAAGCGATTGATCGGATTATAAAGACAGCGACATAGGATCATTCGTGATCGACAGATTGACAGCTTGTAAAGTTAAAGCAAATAATAAATTACTTTTTAACATAACCCTTCGTTTGTAATTCTACTGTTCTCCATGAATAGTAAAAATATATATAACGTCTGACCACTTAGATAACGGTGGATTGAGGAAAATTGAATCCGAAGTCTAGTGGATACAGTTTGAAAGCTTATACGCACGTAAGGGGCAAACACATACCCCGCTTGTACTAACATGTCAAAGATGACATCGCCGTGAACAAGTAAAAACGTCACGACTGGATATATGCAACCAATCATTTGCAAAATGTATACTAATATGACATTTTGCAAAGTTACATGTATTATCTGAAGTTACATTCTACAAACCTAACATTTTTCACACACTTCCCATTACATGTATGGTTGAAACGAAATTACTTCATTAGAATTGAAGCTTTGATACATTTCATCAAGTATGATTCGTAACACCGCACGTATACTGACTACATTGGAAATAATATATAACTATTAAAACATTTAATTGGCAATTGTGAAATGTCTATACCATAACTGCAAATCGCCAAAAGGTTACCAAAAGTCTATTATAATACAACTGAATCCAACAATCAAAGCTGTCGTAGGGGCGCACAGTACGCCTTCGTCTAGCAAAGATACTTTACAATGTTTACGAAAAAGGACAGCATGACTTCACAGACTTACACATTACATAGCATAGAAATCGTAAGCAAAATACCACTGGAAGTGTAACGCAGCTGGGGTGTAGAGTATGATTCTTTCGTGACATGATATATTCATACGCACTGCAGGCCCGTAGCCAGGGGGGGTTCGGGGGGTTCGAACGAACTTCCCCCCAAGCAAAAAAAATAAATTTCAGCCAAATTTTTTCAAGCAAAAATCAGGTCGCTCCATTTTAGTGTAATAATTGCAAAATCTCCATCGTGCGGGAGGGTGAACAGTGAACACCTCCCTCCCACACCCTCCCCCCCCCGCTCGGTCGCTTGGCTCCCTCGCCTGGTTGCTTCGCGCCCGAGCAGAGGCATGTACAGGGGGGGTCCAGGGAGTCCGGACCCCCCCTTGATCGCGCAGAAAACGCATCTGAGGGGGTCTAATTTCAAAAAATTTCTGGGGGAGGGCCTCCCACACCCCACCTTCGCGTGCTCACAACTTTGGGTTACGGTTTGACTCCCCCCCCCTGGTACAAATCCTGTACACGTCCCTGCCGAGCAAATTGCCAACATTGAAAAACGAACCCCCCCCCCAATATAAAGCTGGCTACGGGCCTGCCCTGCCTATTAAAAACGGTCATCCTCATTCGCATTGATTTTAAATTTGAAAGTGTACACATATTTATAGGTCTGCTAAACTTTGTATAATAAATTACTGATTAGAAATTACTCTACAAAATAAGCACAATTAATAGCCATAATTTATAAGTGCACAGAATAATCCAATTGTCAGAACAATGACGTTTAAAGCTGATGTAAACGAAAGACAGCTAATATGTTTCATGAGATAATTTCTTCATCGAATGAATCGAAAACGTGAAAGCTATAATGCAACAATAAGTATGTGCACAAAACCATGAGATACTCCTTGTGCTCGACTTGCTTTATCTACACTGTTTAATCATACACACCCATTAATACCCCAGTCACACCAGGGCCCCGATCTCACTACGCTCGTACTACGCTCTAAGAGCGTAGTGGAAACGTGTAGAACGCAGTGTGGACGTATATGGACGTACTGCGATCGTGATCGAGCGCGGTGCAGTCAGCATGAGCGTGGAGAGCATGGCCAAACTTTGAACATGTTCAAAATAATCGTGGTGCGAGCGTGGCGGAAATACAGCGCAGTGCGAGCGTGGCGGAAATACAGCGCAGTGCGGGCGTATTAGAGACGTGGAAGGCGTAGTAACCACGTAACTCGAGCGTAGTACAAACTTAATGGTCGTATCGCAAGCGTATCGGGTGCGTGAAAATTGTCGCACCGTTTTCATCACGCTGTTACTACGTCCATGGAGATGTCTCTGCGACCTGACCACGCTCTCGCTATGACCATGGTAGGTCTCTAGCAAGCTCGACCCGTTCGTACTACGATTGTACTACGCCCAACACGCTCAGACTACGCCGTTGTGGCGTTCGCATTACGTGTTAGTTACGCTCAGATCACGTCCTGCAAACTTGGGGTATAATTTGGGGTGCTACCCTGGCCACCCCACCAGTTCAGTGTCCACTATGGATGAGGCAACACTACTCCATGCCATGTTTCTCGTAGAAGGACAACTCGAACTACTTGATTGCCAAGCCCTCATCATGCTGAGGAAGACGAGGAGGAGAAATAGAAGACAACAAAGATCTTGCTGGCTCTCCCCTTGTCTTTTGGCGGCATAGTTGTGTTTGTAGAAAATAATCTTGATGTTAATCTTGATTTAAGTTGATAATGTTGATCTTAATTATCTTGATGTTAATCTTGACAGCACGGCAGAATGAATGATGATGTATAGAACGCGGCGCGGTATTTATATGATCGTTGCCAGCGCAGTCGGCGCGTGATTGGCGCGCAGTTGAGGCGCGGTGAGCGTTGCTAAGGCGCAGTGCAAGCGTCGTTTGAACGCAACACGATCCGATTGGTCGCAATAAAGACGCCGTCCGCGCGGTGCAAGCGTGATGCGGGCGTGGTGTTGAGCGTGGTGAAAGCTTGTTGAGCGCAATGAGATCGGGGTAAAGACGCACTTAGATCGTAGTATGGACGTAATTAGATCGTAGTATCGGCGCTGGGCCCGGCTGGGGCCCAATTGGCCACGCTCTCAACCATGCTCGGGCAAATTTTTTGAGGACGGGGCGATCGTGATGAGCGTAGCTCTGGTGTGATTGGGCCTTAAACACCCGAGGCACTCTACAATACGACTAGCTGCATGTAACTTCTGGTACGAGCCAAACTTCACCGTCCCATTTAGTACTCAGACCAATGACACTGCATTATATTGTCAAAACACAGAGTTTCATATACTACTATACAAGATACATGAAAATAAATGTATACAGTAATTATCGGGTATACGACCACCACAGTTCCGAAACATTAATTAGCAGCACAACTAAAAGATATATTTTTCAAATCAAATTAAATGAGCAGTCAACATACATTCGCCAAGCACCTTATGCATGCAACTGGTATGCAAATTATTTTCATCATATTTTAAGTCCACATCAGTGAAAAAAATACACGAAGGCAATGCCAAAAAGAGCCCCGAAAATGCCAAAAAGAGCCCCCGTAAATTTGCCTAGAGTTCAATGCAAACCAAATTTTAGAGTGCTATTTTCATGCACGCGAGCTTGAAAAGTAGCCCCGAAAAATACATTTTAATTTTTTCCCTGGTCCACATGATCATTCACCAACAACTTCTTCTGCAACAACATACTGTCCATCGTCCAGATGTATCAGGTTCCCTATATCAACGTAGACATGTTGAGTGTCTTGTAAGACATTAGATGCATGCTGCAATGTTGTGCTATCGTTGTCCAGCTGCTCATTGCCAGAATCTACAATAAAATGCTCGGGAAACGTGGCCAGTTCAGCATTGCTCATAATCTGGTCTCCAGACAGTGTTTCCTGTGTACTTGCATCAAAGCCTACAGTTTCTTTATTATCTTGACTCCTGCCAGTGGGCAGATATACTGCCGAGTTATCTTGACTGGTCTCTACCCGACTGGCACCTAACTGCATTGCTGAAACCGTTTCCTGTTTGGATGCAACTTGTTCGTGAGTGTGTCTTGGTGTTGTCCTGATTAATTGTTTGGGCAGCAATGACTGTGACCTAGGCTCTTGGAATCGCACTAGAGGCGGCGGTTGCCTTAAGGTCAATGACAATGACTGGCGCACAGGTGCAAAGCATTGCTGGTAAGGTGGTGCTGACAATGGTCTTATTGGTACAACCTTTTGCCCAATAGGAAAAATCCGTTTTCTTGGTAGAACAGTAATTCTGGGTGCACTCCTTTGGGGCAGAATCTGAGTCGACACTACTGGCTGGGTCCTAATTACGTGTTGATTTGAAGTTACATTTACAGGTCTTGGGCCCTGTAATATCACCTGGTTTTCGCTAATCCTCACAGCCTGTATACCTCCTGAAGTTGCTTGAGTGGCCCCCAAGGTGATTGTGGAATGCAAACCTGATGTTACAATAACAGCGTTTTTACCCAATGGTTGAGAGGTCATCATGATGGGCTGTGACACCACAGCGGATCCTGTCCCAGTCGTTATTCCAGACTGCGTTGTTGGCAATGTAATGCACTGTTTAAATAACGTACCAAGATGTAAAACGGGAGTACCTGCCTGGACTGATAGTATGGATTGTGACATTGCCTCTGGTGCTGCGCTGGTACTCGTGGGAGATGCGACCTTTGCTGAGGTTGCTGCTAGCATGCATGTAGTCGTTGACACAAGATTGTCTTTAGCTACAGTAGCAGCATCAATTGGTACATCACAGACTTGCTCAACTTCTGTATCCAGCTGCTGCACAGAAGTCAGACGCCCTACTTCTGGTGAGCGTTCCTCTGCTATGACCTCAGGTCCCTGAGCTATAGTTAATTCTGACGGGGCTTGCAATGTCTGCTTATTTGAAATATCAGATATTGGATGGCCAGACTGGATAGACTCATCACAGGACATTTGACCCTGATCGTCTGCTTGCAACCTCTGTTGGTCTGCCCCTGATTGAAGAGGCTCACTTGATATCGCATGTTTCGGTGCACTGATTACACATCGTTGTGCCGCTGCCTTGGCTTGCAACCAGGCTGCAGTTGCTTGGTGTACTGCAGCTAGTGGTTTTATTTCAGCTGATACCTCTTTACTACCTGCCACATGTGGCTGTGACTGTTGCTTGCCAGTCTGGTTTACTATTGAAGAGCGCTGCAGTCTCACTCTACATGTATTAAACTGTACTGGAAGATTTGTGCATGTTACCGATTGGTTTTCGGTAATATAATTTTCCGACAGTGCTAAGGACATCTGAGGTATCTTTGAATCCTCTTTCATTGTGTTTTCACTGCTGGATGCACAGTCGTCGGCACGGCTGACACTTCTTTCATTATCCTGATGGGAATTCTCAGAGTCACACAAATGGCCCGTAGAATCAGACTGGATAAAAACACCGGGCTCAACACCAGTGGATGATGGCAGTGCAAACTTATGGCGGCCAGAGTAATTGCTAGCCTGATCACTATCACAATTCTGACCACTGTAACTGGTGTCTTGACTCTCACTGTTCCGATCAAAGGGATCGCCCTGTACACTACTGCCAGTGTCAGAGTCTGCGTCAACATGGAACTCATTGTTTTGGCTGTCAGCATCTGCTCCGGGCTCACTCTTGACAGCCACTCGTTTCCCTGTGATGCGTTTCAGCTGCTGTTCAGTGGGAACTCGCTTCTGATAGGATCCTGACCTCGTCTTTAGTGTAGACAGCTTGTCGGCAGAACGCGTCACTACCATCTCAGTGCGCATAGTACGCACGCATGGTGTGAGGTCGTATGTCCGTGGCGTGTTGCGAGTTGATATGTTAAAGGGACTCACGGCTGGTCGGCAAGGCATCCTCTCGGCACGACTCTGACTCGTCGTCCGATACTTGATCGAATACTCAGATGACGAAGACGACGCAAAATGAGTCGGTTGTGACTTGCGTCGGCTTGATGATGCTGCTGACATCAGGTTCTTTATGACGGGTTTTGCATTGCGACTTTGTATAGGCATGCGTCGGGCTGCCAGGCTTCCTTCCTCCGTCGTCTCGCCAAGTACCAAATCAGTGATTAGCTTGTCAGGGCTTTTGAGTCCTTTAAGCTTGTCCTCGTGACTGCGGCACAAGTGCGAGCGAATGTCGCCTCGGTTGAAGTTCTGGAAGCCGCATATCTGACATTCGAATCTCTTCCATCCAAGATGGAGCTGCACGTGGCGCTTGGTGTTGCTCAAGCTCGAGTATTTGTCGCCACACAACAAACATTTGCGCCTTACTCGGTCAATATGCACCATAATCTTTTGCTCCCACGTGGTGGGATCTAATGGCATTTCGCATTGAATCATGGGTTCGATTCTGTCTTTTGCCTGCCCCTTTCCTCTGTTTTTCCCTTTAAACAAAGATGAGACTGTTTTATGTGACTGCTCAGTACACACGTCCTGGTGTTTCAAAAGCGTGTCCTTGTGACCAAACATCTTGTTACACTTAACACACTTATGCAGTACGAGTGATCCAACACACACGCTTGACAGCTCCTGGCTACTCTCTTGGCGAACTAGTTCATCACGTTGTTCGATGTCCATCTCAGCTTTGTCATTTTTCACATGTGCAGCCTCACCGAGAAGCAAGCATTCCTCTGGTTCAGAGCCAATTTCATTACACAAGGGTTCATCTTCAGCTGACATGTCCTCAGGTGCCTCTTCTTCAGCTGTCATCTCCTCATCCTGATTCTCGGTGATGTCTTCTTGCACTCGTTGCCTCATGGGTGCTACCGGAAATATATTCTTGAATGATGCTCGCTTCTTGATCATGTCTCTCAATTCCTTGATATCGTCCTTGCTTTTATGATGAACCTTTACTAGATGGCGAACTGCACCCCAGCAGTGCACAAACTGACTTCTGCACTCAGTGCACGGATAGACTTTCCTCCGCTCTGCGTGGACGGATGTCATGTGTATCTTAAGTGTCTTCAATGATGAGTACTTTGTGCTGCACAGAAGGCATGTTAGCTTTTCAACGCTACAATAAGGTGGCTTGAACAGGGAAATCTTTTCGATGTTCGTACCATCGGCTGACCGTGAGGGGATCGGTGTAACTTTGACTGCAGTCTTGGGACCAGTTGAAGTCGCGCTTGTTTTTGATGCATGACACTTTTCAGCTTTCTGCATGGCTCTCATTCGTAGCAGCTTATACTCTGGGACAGAACGAGAGGTGACCCTTGTTGACTTTTCACATTCTTGGGGGATGACAGTCACAACCTAAGCAAGATAATAGCCAAAGATAATGTAATAGATTAAATAATGCTCTTTGTACTATGCCAACTTTATAATCCACAATTTAATGACCAAGTTAGCAAAGTAATAATGTTTCGAAAATTTTGTTTATAACTACCAAATTGTTATTTTTACTCACATTCATGTGTATGCATGCATGCACAAATGCAATTAACAACATAAACTTGATTTTATAACCTGTATCAGTTAAAAGGTATGTTTGGCATATCTTTCCATACATATCATCAGTAATTACAATACTAACTGTCTCTTCAGGTGATTTCCACGGTTCTACATTCTGTTCTTCCTTGTCTCCATTTACTACTGTCTGGTAAACAGCATTTGGATTGTTCTTGATGGACTGTAATTTAACTGTGGTAATTTTCTTTTGATCCCACCTCTCAGCCTGCACATCTAGTATGCTATCATAAAACTGCACTGCATCTGAGGTGCCCTAAAAAAATCAGAACAGTACAGAATCAGACAGTGGACACAGGATTTTTGATGAGAGACCCGAGTTTCTAATGGTGCTTGGAAAGGATAAACTCGATCAGCCAGACAGACATAGATAAGCATCTTGGAAACCCTATTCTCGATATAAATGGAGTAAAATGATATTATGTTGATTATAAAATATTTACTGTTGCTTGTGTATAATGTTATACATACAATGTTCATATCATAACACAATGTCAATTTCAATAGTTTCCAAATAATTGGTATAACGCATGAGTTATCCTACCAGTTTTATTTTAAGCTATATCAACCCATCTTTTTACATTGTCATGCAAATACTTGGGATATTATCAGGAGTGTATCAATAGGAGTGAGACAGACTAAAACCGGCAAAATTCAACATTTAGTAGCCTTAGTCTACCTATGATTTATTGTGTTTACCTCGATAAACTTGAGCTCAAGTCTTGCCTTAATCATTAAGCTTTATCCGTGTCTAATCGTTGGTCTCACAAAAATGACAAATCGGGAGATATCGGTCCAAACGTACAATGTGGTTTTAGAAAGTTATACCGTGAAGTCAACAACTGTGAACCGAAACATAAGGGTAATGCTTTTGAAAGCCCTCTATCGCTTAGCAATGCAAACATAGCAAACAACTAGCGAGCGTTTGCTAGGGATTTCGAAAGTTAAACACGCCTTGTTGTTATTATAGGCCATGTCGAATGACAGTAATTACATGTTATGAACAATATTGTTAAGAAAAAATAAAATGCGGATAAAAATACTAAACATGTGAAATTTTTTATTTCTAATGTAAATAGTATCAATAACACCAAGTCGTGTTTAACTTTGCGAAATTCCTAGCAAAACCTCGCTAGTTGTTTGCTATGTTTGCATTTTCTAAGCGATAGAGGGGCTTTCAAAGCATTTGCCCTTATGTTTCGCCGTTCAACGTTGTTGACTTCACGGTATAACTTTCTAAAACCACATTGTACGTTTGGGACCGATTCTCCCGATTTGTCATTTTTGTGAGACCAACGATTAGACACGGATAAACTACAAAAAGTTTAATGATGTAAGGGCAAGACTTGAGCTCAAGTTTATCGAGGTAAACACAATAAATCATAGGTAGACTAAGGCTACTAAATGTTGAATTTTGCCAGTTTTAGTCTGTCTCACTCCTATTGATACACTCCTGATATTATGGGTAAATGCTTACATCTATTGAATATATCTATTGATATATAATATTTTGGAACATGTCTACTTGATATAGTACAGGAATGTCTGTTAGGATACTTTCCATTCATTTCAATGGGATTTTGATAGTTTCTTGTGGTATTGTAAAAAAGATTGCCATATCATTAATTATGTAAAACTGGACGTGTACCTTGAGTGGGGTAGAGGATTTTCCAAATCCCCACACTTCCCTTACCATATGTTTAAAAATATGTAGATAAACGGACTTAACCCTAGGACTTAATCCTACTCAATTACTGTTTTGCAAAAGCATATATATGTTGAAAGACATCACAACTAAAATCAAATTCAATAGATTCTATAATAATCAACATGGAGCTTTTATAAATTTCTAAAAATACAGAACAATAATAAGTCAAGACCATAATATATTCTGTCATCCAGATCCAATGCTCATTTGGAAATTATGATTTCAGGTGTTATTTAGTTAAATTTTTATTTGATAAAGTATATTTCTCTCTAAACAAGAGCTACAGAGCGTCTGGGCTCATCTGAGGTCTGTTGCTACGGTAATAAATGTAACATTTAAGTCGTGCGTAGTGACACCTTTGTTAGGCGCAGATATGCAGATACGCAGTTGTGTACAAATCATTTCAGCAACCTTCTGCATTCTGCATACCTCCCAAATCCCATTGGTTGATACAAATCGCGTGCCTGAAACTCCTGTTTTATGGTGCATTGTGACTAGGGCTGTAACGATCCACCGAAATCGAATCGGATCGCGATTCTTACGCGCCTCTACGCGTTCGGCTATCCAGGCTTATTGGATTTCTAGATTATGGATGTGCCATGAATATGACAACACTGTGACGTCATTGAGGCAGTTCAGGAATCCATGTTTAACCCTCCTCTTGAGGGTCAATTTAAGGTTATCAGACACTTACTCTTCACACGTCAGTGCAAGCCTGTAAATAATTTTTTTTTGGTGCCTGTCATTTTGTCAGGCACCAGCAAGTTGGTGTCTGTCATCTTAAATTTGGTGCCTGTCATAGATAAAATTAGTAAGAATAAGATACCATAAAAAGCAACATTTTACAAATAATTCCAATTTACTTTTTATTAGCTAAATTGTTTCAAAACCACAAAACTTCAACACAGGATAAAAATTGTTCACTTGTTTACAAACTGAGCGGATTGACTAGTCGACCAGTTACTAGTCTAATTTAAATATTTTATAGCCATTCGGTTGCGAGACTGGCGTTTTGTTCTTTTACTATATATAAAGATTGTACGAAAAGACTAGTCTCGTGGTGCCGGTCAAAATGACAGCTAGGAAATAAATGGTGTCGGTCATTTATTAATTTGCTACCGGACATTGTCCGTGACCGGCCGCTTATTTACAGGCTTGCAGTGGAAAGCACATTTCATGGTCCTTTCAATAAAGTGATAAAAATGGTAAGTCAGCGCTGAAACAAACAAGTTTTTCACTCTGTCCATTAGGCCATGTCCTCAGAAAATGTCTGATATCTGACCTTTCCCCCACTGCCCTTTGAGCCTGTGACCTCCAATTTCGCACTGGTGATGGGTATCCTTCCCATCACACTATACACCGAATATTAAGAGCATAGGTCGAGCCGTTCAGATTTGTGCCGCAATTGCGTATTTCCTCCTATACCTTAAGTTAAATGGGAAATATTCCCCCTCTGTTGACACATCTTGACCTTTGACCCTTGACCCCCAAATTTGTCATCCCGAGTCCTTTTCACAATCCCCTCCGACGTCCCAAATATCGTGACCGTACGTCGAGCAATTAAGATTTGTGCCCAACTGTTGACGGACGGACACACGGACGGACGCACGCACGATCATGCGATTCTACAAGCTGCATCTGACTACGTCAGATGAACCAATGAAAAATTGAAACCAGTCGCTCACGGAAGTACAAAGTTGAAACTCTAGACAGCCCCCCCCCCCAATTCAACCACTCATCCACTGTTCATTTCAGTTCACACATATAATAATAATATACCAATAGAAACAGACAGTGGTTTCCTGGTGTATGATAAGCAATGCAGGCCGCTTTTATGATTTTTTCCATCCAATATGTTCACTATGTGTTGAAATTGTCACCTCGCTGCAAATTCTTGGGTTCCCAAATCGCATACCCAGATCAATGCTGCCACGCATCAAAGCAAATATTACAGGCGTGTGGCAACTGCCCTAGCATTGCTTGGTACCTGCTGAGCTCACGTCAGCACCTTTGGCACTTCAACCCTGCCAATTTGCTCAGGATTTTATCCAAAGAAAACACTGGAAAATGGGATCGACTAACTCGCTGGAAATAGGTTTGCACTCCCACACCAAGATCTATCCTTAGATATCAAGCAGCAGACATGTTCCAACCAGGTTCGGGTTGCATCAGTAAGATTAAGTGCACGTTTATGTCTAAATAAATATTCAAAAAGAAACAATACTCTAGAATTTAAGAGTTATATGATAGTTAATGCATACAAAATAAGATATCCCTAGATACTTCTGTTATCAGACATTCAATTTTGATAATAAACATCATAAATTACAAAATCAAGGATTTCTGGTGTCATCCCAACACCGTACAACTGTAGGGAGGTTCTTTCTCTTTATTATGTAGTGTTGGTACTGTACGATGTGTGTGGTGCACATCATGCAGTGATGATCGAAGACATAGAGTATATAATACAGATTTAGGTACAAGTATATCCTATATATGTTACGACAGACATGAACGGCAACCCGCTGTGGCCACTGAGAGCGTACTCTCCCTTCTCCTATCTCTCTCCCTTTTTCCTCCTCATCTCTCTTGATCATAGCCCCCTTATATAGGAGACGTTTCCCCTTCGACCTGTGTGCATCGGCACACCCTGCTCTTGCCCAATCGCAAGCCCAATACCATGCAAGAGCGTATTGATCGGTTGACCCTTCAGGATCTGGTCCGGTGCCATCTCCCTGGTTTATTACTCTTCTTATAGTTGCTAATGACTATTTACTGCTGTCCCCTCTATTAAGAATGTTAATAAGAAGAGGAATGACATAAATGATGTCATTGCCCGAAGGACTTGACATTGTTATTAATGGCCAGGTCACAGGTGTACTTTTTAATTACTTTATTGCCGCTCGTATTCCCCTAGCAATTTACATCTCTATCAAGAGTTCATAATAGAGAAGAGTATGACACTGTTTTACAGCGTTTTGTGTAGTTTTCAACTTGAATTTATTCTATCAATATGTGAATAAATATACAAACTTTACGTTGTTTTGTTCTCTGATTCTCCCTGTGTTCTTCAAAAAAGTTCTTTGAATACGACACAGTTTCACACATTATTCCCCACGATTTGCATGATATGAAGCAAAGTTTCTCACGGCGGCAGCACCAGATTTGTTACTACGGGACGCTGGGGGCTGTTGGGGATATTAGGCATCAAATTGTATGCAGTGTGTATTGTGTTGCCATCGTGCTAAAAATAAATGTGTGCTCACGGCGAACTAGCAGCTGATTTTAGCTGTGTTGCCATGGTTTTGTTTAGATGCAAACACACCTCAACAGGGACACTCAGACTGTTACTGTGCTTACCTAACATACATGTATACAAAGATAGACTGGTCTACGCTCGACAGTTCCACTCGCGTTACACTGACGGGGTGGAACTGTCGAGCGCAGACTAGTCTAATACAAAGATACACGGCTCCGTCAGAACGTCTAGGTTTTTTCATCTATATTTCTCTTAAATAACATCGTACTTCAATTCAGAGGTGCCTTTCTGTTTATAGAAACATTTATAAATATGATTGTGCTAATTTGGGATATTGTGCAATGTTTGTGTTAATGCAGAAAGTAAAAACGCACGACTGTTGACATTTTTCGCGTACTTCTCAATGGCGCGCCGAGGCAATGTTACACCGCTTGCAATTTGACCTCAATATGGCGGCGGGACTTTCCGATCTCACTTATTACCAGCGAGCCTTTTCTTGTAATCTTGGACCAGTTAGTAGCGCTACTCGCCAGCTATTGTCCATAGACTTACACTTCGCTTGCACAATCAGGTTTTCACTGACAAATTGCAAGCTAACACATTTAATAAATCCCGCGACTCGATGTTATTTTGGGTTGTGTTTGATGTGTTCGTATCCTATTTTCTATGATATAACTGCATAAAATCTTAGTGTTTTTCAAGTTAGTGTAATTATAGTGATATATCGGCTCTGCATGAGGTACGTGAGACTATATTTCACTATAATTTTTTGGATTGAGTTTCTGAACAAAAATCTTGCAATAAACCCTTTAATGGAGCCACCGGCATTCTAAGCAAATGATTGTCAACAAGTTCTACAAGATTAAAAATATTTCCAATATATATATTGAACCACAAATATATAAATATATGTGTGTGATTAAATTTTTTAAGCTACTCTAACTGAAAATATGCATTACACCTAAAATATTCTCCCCCTTTGCTCCATAATAAATATCATCACATCATGCACACGTGAATAAATGTGCGACACAAGTCAAAATCGTGCAAGAAGCTATACACTATAAGCAATATACCCACTGGTTTTGATAAGTTTGAAGTAGTATCAGGTGGTTCCACCTCACACTCCACAGTCTGATTAGGAGAAACTGGCTGGATCACAATAGTCTCATCTTCGCTGGTGTTCGAAGGAAACTTCACCTAATTTATACAGAGAACAAACGTGTAATATAAGTAAACCATCTTACTAATTTACATTTATTAAACTAATTAATAATAAAAACACAAATAGGAATCAAACACAACTGTCTTTTACCAATGCCTGCAATTTGCAAACACATTTCATTCGCAATCAGTCAGTCTTTTATAGCACAGCCATTCAGCGAAAATCATAGTGACTACAAACCTACTCGTGTGACTAAACACAATTCAAAATGGACACCAATTGACCCATCTGCCTATGGTGATAGTATGCTCTAAAAACAACACCTAATAACGACATGCTGCAAATTCATCAATTTGCCATGCATCACTTACAAACCATTGATCTACATAATAATACAGTACACAATCTATTATCTGAAACCCTTGGGACCAGACGTTTCTGAATTCGGAATTTTTCGGATTTCAGAATGGTAGTACAGATATACATACTGAATATCCTGCAACTAGCCAATAGTAAAACCCAAGTTTTCAAGAGGCCAAGTGCTGTACTAGTACAGTACAATATGTATGAGTAATGCCAACCACATTAATATTTCTGCAGTGAACCTTGTGCAGCCAAACACGAGCTTTGGTGTGCAGTCGACCTCCACAGAAAAAATTCCGTTTATTGGAGCTTTTGGGTTTTCAGAATTTCGGATAATAGATTGTGTACTGTATAATAACATTACTATATACTGTATACGCCATATTTTTCGCATAGATATTTTCGCGAATTCACACTTGACGGATGATTTCGCGAGTGGTTAATTGCGTGGTCGGTGAATTATGAATTATTCGGTATTATTCGGTATGAATTATTTGCATGTTGTTATTTTCGCAATCGGGGACGCGTTCGCGAAATTCGCGAAAATTAAACCACCACGAAATATACAGAGTATACAGTATATACCATTAATACAAACTGGGCTATAGCTTGACTGACCTAGCAACAACACATAAGGAAGACATGGTTGCCTTGCTTAGGCAGATAAATCAAACATACCATGACAACATTGACAGCTTTGTTGAAATCTTATGACAAACGATACATAAATTTCATTTTCTGGCTGTGATTGTCTCCTTTTATGATAAATTACATCATATTACTCGCTACATTACTGTTTTTATCTCTATTAATCAGCATTGTCTTAGATTATGGATCTACATAATATCACCAGGAAAACTATTAGAGTGTGTTGCCATACAAAGTACTTTCTTTTTGACCCCTGCTATCATTTTCGATATCTACACATGCAGCTAGCTATATGTCTATCCCGGCCCCTCCACTCAGTGTTATTTAGGGTACGCATATGCTCGTTCCCTCTTTTTGAAAGCACCCCCTTATCTCAGGGCTGCCAAAATTTCTGAACCCCCCTTTCGCGGGCTTTTTGCGGGTATTTCCTGCCTTGGAGACCCCCTAAATCCGGAACACTGCTCAATGTACCCCCTATCTCAGATCTCAGTACGTGATTTCGAGAAGTCTGTACTATCGAGTCGATAGATGGCACTGAACTCCACACTACGTATAGACTGGTACCCGTTCGCCACTTTCATTCCGGTACATATCCTTCACTACACTGACGTAGTAACGTTAGTGTAGCGTGTGGAACTGTCGACCGGGTACCAGTCTACACTACGTAGTGAAGAGTTTAGTGATCGAGGGGAACTAGGGGGCAATATTTTTACTTTTCAAAATGAAATAATCCTGAATGAGCTTTCAAAACTAGCACTAATTTCAGGAATTTGATCTCGGGATTTGATAAAGTTTTCTATGATATTCAAGATGAAAGAGAGAGAGGAAAAACACCCCCTTTTTAAAGAAATCTCCGGGTGAAAAGTCAAATACACCCCCTTTTTTACAATTCTTGGGCCGGATTTGGTCTCGCGAAAAATACCCCTTTACCGGAGATTTTGGGAACACGCATGCGGTCTCTTCGACCTCGGAGTGGAGGGGCCGGGATGTCTATAGCATTCAAACTTGTAATAAGTTCTTACTGAAGAATTTTTGTAGCTTTCGGTGCAGTATAGCCGTTTGTGAGCCACAAAATTTGGCAGGCCACGGAAAAGACTGTGGCACAAACAGCATTCGTAGATGACAGTGCACTCATACAAAAGTAGGTTGCGGACCTCTGTCGTTCCATACAGAACACCATTCACTATCTGCTGAAGTGCTGGAATTCCTATAAAAACAAATACCATTATGCTTTTATTACTAACCTTAAGAATCACATGCCACTCATGCCTTGTTAATTTCTGGATTATCAATTAGGTCCAGTTTTTATCTGAATTAGGTTTTGAGCCCCTACCATGTAAGAGTAATTAGAAAATGGTAGCAAAACAAAATGTGGCACTATCTGTTAAATAATATAATGACAAACTTCTCTATACCCATCATGCAAGCAAGCTGAATGCAGCATGCTGCATTATGAGACTACATATAAAACTGGAATAATTATCTTTCCAATAAAGTTATACTAGGGAAATAGGATGAATATATATAAAAGCTAGTATTCTTGTCACAGTCACCTCCAAGAACAGGCTTATTAAGCATACAGTGGTCAACCTTTTCTTCATCCATTAGACCGGCTACCTCAGAACTGCAAAACAGGACGGATTAGCAAATTTACACGTAGATCTACATAATATAGTACATATACCAATTTACAATATATTTAACTAAATTGCATACATATAAAGAGCTCAATTTCTCTATGGCACCAACAGCAACCTATCTGGTTTGCACTGAGCCCTTCACATAAACGTCATGCTGAATGTGTATCTCTGTTTATACCACATATAAAGCAGGGTGCGAAATTAATGGGAGTCCGGAGTCAAATACTTCCAGATTTACTGTCAGACTCCCTGATTTGACGTATGCAGGAGTCCGTGTGACTCCCTGAAAATTCTGCCATACTACCTAGTTCGTTTCAGAGCATGGCCTCGTGGAAATACCGTATTTTTTCAGCTAATATCCAAAGAAAATTTGACAGACGTGCAACCGCATGAATCTTAATAAAAGTGTCAATGACACTGTAGCTCACCACAAAAAAGGACACAAATAAGCGAGTAAAAAGAAGTCAGTTTTAATTGAGCAACCATCGACGTACATTTTAGAAACGATTGCCATCTGTATATCGCAATAATAATTTATAAACCAAAATGAATCACAATTTGTGACCGTAGATGGCGCTATACCCGCTTTGTAGCGATGGCGTTTGAAATAGGTTATGCTGCGTTCCGACATGTTTTGTAAAACTTTACTCTAATATAGACGTTTTATCGGCAGGGTGGAGAGGAAATACCAATTTTGCATTAAAGATATTGTCAATGAAATCTTGTAAAACGAACCAGACGAGTGTGACACCACAGACTATTTGTGTCTATATAATATGCTATATAATTGCCAAACCCTACCTAATTTGCATAATTTTTTTTTAAATATCAAAACCCCTAGCCCTTATTCATTCACATACCAGAAATGAGCAAAATCCGTTGAACCTAAACTGACTAATGGCAATTCCCCTTTTTGCCAAAAAATTGCCGTGGCTCGAAAGTACGTCGACTGCTGTGCTTCAAAATAGGACGTTTAATATGGGACCATAGCAGTAACAACTACACCCAATTTCAAAGATGTGGGCCAAACGGTTCCTGAGTTATCGTTGACCGTAGCGAAATGTTGACGGACAGACGGACGTACGACGGACAACGACCCATGGCAATAGCTCAGCTTGACGATGTCAAGGTGAGCTAAAAATAAGCACATGTGTTATTGTTAAGATCTTTAATTTTGAACCTCAGACTGCGGACTCCCTCTTTTTGAGGGTAGGGAGTCCGTAGGACGCCCGTGTTCAAAAGTCAATTTCTACCCCTGCAAAGTGTTGTTAAAAATAATTATGTATCCCTAATAATCCTTATTTGAAGAACGTGTTTGCCTTGGTGGCCTCTTGGAGTAATCATTCTGACTAGTTCATTAGTCAGAATGATTACTCCAAGGTGGCATAAAGACTTCTGCGTAAACTTGCTTGCACTTGCTTTGCTGCCCTCGCTCTTGCTTGCGTTGCTTTGCCCTAAAACTGAACAATTCAAACCCTGCTCATAATGGTTAATATCTCTGTCAAGATAGCTGTTACTTACGACTAAACGTGTAACTGTTCTGCTTATTCATTTCTTGATGTATATGGCTAGGTCCAAGCCAAACATGATATCATTTTTATACACTACAATAATACTCTTAATTTACATAAGAACAAATTGCTAAATTAAAATGCATATTCCATATTATACATATAGAACCTAGTTCTTTACACTCATAAGCAATTGCAAATGAAATAGCATCTCTACATGTAACAAACCACCTTGCTGGAGTGGAGTGAGGCCAGAACTACAATCTTTCTAGTATGCTAGTAAGACACAAAAGAATGCGAGTGGAGAATCAGGATTAATTGGAGATCATGAAAGAATCTCCACAGGAACAGTGGTCGTGGAGTATCGGTGACTGTTAGTAGTGCTGAGAGGGTCTATGTCCCCCGGGGTACTGCCGGAGCGTACCCTGGGTACGGTCCGGTATACCGGAACGTACCCTGGTGCTATCTATTATGCCGGACCGTACCTCGCCTACTCCACTAACGAGTCTAGGGAGTCGCCTACGCCTACTCCCTAACCCTAACTCTAACCCTAACCCTAACACTAACCCTAACCATATCAGCTAGATAGTTACCAGGGTACGTTCCGGTATACCGTACCCAGGGTACGTTCCGGCAGTACCCTGGGGGACATAGACCCTATCAGCGTTAGTAGTAACATTATTTAAGATATCTACAGCAAACTGCTCAACCACACACATAAAAGTTGTGCACTGTTCATGAAGGCTTAATACTGACAGGAACATGCCAATCTACCAATTTCTCGTGCTTCTAAGTTGTGTAAATACACTGCAAAATTTTAGGGATTTTATAAGGACTACCGATTTAATGATTACCGGTATACCTGGTATTACCGCGGTATATAATAGATGCATATATATAATGTCGATGTCTAGCACAATAAAGACCACGGGCAGAACACTGTCTCTTCATATAATAATTCTTACACTTACAGACCAACTTGTCAACAACAAAATTCTCCACTAGTGTTGTCACGACACTAGGTCACTTAGACCGAATAATTCTGTCCCATATAACCTTTTTATATTTTGGTGAGGGTTATATTGGGTCCAATATAACCCTCACCAAAATATTATAAAAAAGGTTATATGGGACAGAATTATTCGGTCTATAAGTCACTATACTCTATAGCAAAAGTGAGTAGGGGCCCTACCGCAGTACCGGTACGCGTCAGGAGCAAAGCATTATTCAACGGTTACTGTATTTAAAACGAGTAACCTGTAGCATATATTAAATATAAACGTGACACGGAAATAATATCTTACTGTGTGACGTAAAACAATTTAACATCTAGAATGTATAAAGATTCTTCTAGGACAAACAAAGCCTGGTACAACCGCAACTCCCTTGTTTAGAGCAGAGCATTCGACGCCATCTTGCCGATACGGCGCTCTAGATTCGAGGAAGAACACATTGGTTGAATCTTGTGTATTATTTTTGTATTTGTTCTTTGTGTGGAAAGATAAAAAATATTAGAATTTACATAGGAATTATAAAGTCAAATGTATAGCGACGAAGAAATTACGATTCTTGCAAATGATTACTCACGCGCTTTAGGCCTACTAAAGAAATAGACTGGTACTCGCTCCCAGTCCTACCTCGATTACTCGATGGTTACACGATTACACAATCGCTCCCATCATATGCTCCCATCGAGTAACTAAGCCGAGAAGTGGGAGCGAGTACCAGTCTACTAAAGAAATAGCAAAATCAAGTTGGTGTGGCGAAAACCGCCAATGATATATATTTTGTAGTTGCTGTCATAAATATCGAGAGTCGAGACACTAGTATATTATTTCTAATCTATAGTGGCTGCGAAACTTTATAATAGAGGAAGCTATGTCAATCTGTGGGTATATACAGGGCCGTATCCAGAGGTTGGACAGAGGGGGTTACAAAATGGCGATGCGAAGCTTTCGCCCCGAACCGCAAAGCGGTGAGTGGGGGGAGAGTCCGGCCAATTTTTTGGTTTTTTTTTAACATGCTTAGATGCTATTTCCACTTAGTGACCTAGTGATCTAGTTCACTTCAATTGTTTGTTGAATTCATACAAAAGACAGTGTATATCACCATAACAATATTAACATCAATCAAATTAAATGAGATTTGTAACAAACTCGTCTCTTGTGACCGTGTTGGGAATTATGACTAATTATCTCCGTGGTGTGATCCATCCAATCCAGATGAGACGGGATACTAGAGAAGCGTTGCCGAAAGGAGATGTTGATCCGAAGCGCTTAAGCGGCAATCTATGGCGCGCAGTTCCCGCGCAAGGCGCACGGCGACGCGCGGGAACGTCCTACGACGTACAGTATGCAGCGCTGGCAGCTATGGATCGTGCGCCGAATGAATTGCAGCGGCACGGATCGATAGCTGCCAGCGAAACAGTCCGCAATTTTAGTGGGGGACACAGAGGGTAGACATTGGGACGCTGAACAGTGTTCACTTGTTATAAAAACATAATTTCTCTCTCGTAACCGGAGCTGTGTGACGCGAAATCACAGAAAACTGACGAAATTCTCTGCGTTCGCGAACCTTGTGCCCAGTAATGGAAATGGCTGCAAGGACAAAGGCTATATATAGAGCTGGAACTCGCTCCACCTCGATTACCCATCGAGTGACTAAGCTAAGCCGAGAACACGTACAATACATGGACAAACGCGGCACAAACACATACATCGCAATGAACAATACATCGCAACGAACAAATACATGTGTTATGCAAAGTCAGAGTTACCACATAGAACTTGATATGCTAAGTAAGTCACTATCTATGACAATAGTATATAAACATGCTTAATTACGAGCAGATGTGTCGCACATTCTATATGACAGAACTCCTGGTACAGGCGTGTGGCAGAGCGAAGGGATATAGTTTTAGAGGTATTAAGTGACCTAATACTGGCATATCGAACTATTGTGTAGTATTGACAAAGTTGTGAACACGGTCGTTCGTAGAATCCTAGCATTGCCGATGTAGTAGACTCGCAGTGTAGACAGGATTTATAATGGTCGATGTGACATGATGAACATATCTTAAGAATTTGATTGCGACGAGTGCATTACAGTTAAATTAGGAAATTCCGTAAAATATAGTGATCTATAGTTCATGCAACAATTGAAACTAACTGTTAACAAATACAAACATGACGTTATAACATATAATGCACAATGTAAGATCAGGTGGTAAGAGTATTGTTTATCGTATGCTTCATGAACGTTCTTCTTCCAATGTGTTCTGCTAACAGCTAGTGAAAAAATGGCGACATGCGTTGATGAGATGATTTAAGTGAAAACACAGAAAAGAATGCATACCGCAGATGCAGTTACTTACGCCATACTTTCATATTTACTAGGGCCAATACTTGAGCAGGGCGAAAATGCACTATATAGAAAGTAATACACTATATAACTAGTATACTTGCGTCGCTCGCCACCCAGAACCGCATGCTAGTTGTGCGCGCACGAACCAACAGTGATGCGACGCTGTAGTTGTCGACGCGCCGCAGAATGAATGCACCCCCCCCCCCGGTCACAGGATATCGCGCGCAGGTCGTATAAGAACCACTACGCCATCTAACCAAGCTAGCCAGATCACATGCGTGTGCTGAGAGTAGCGTTTTTGCCCCCTCCATCTATTTATCCATTTATTTACAAGTTAAACTGCAATTAGCGTCTCGTCGGCGCCAGAGTGGCGGGCGCGCGAGATGAATAATTACACCGGCGCTTATACCCGCATATAGCCCGCCGACCGGTGTGCAAGCAAAGTCGTAGGCAAATGATATGGATATAGACTCGTGCATAGACTCGTGCTGCCATCTATTGGACGCAATATCTAGTAGACAGATGTACACTGATTTAGAGTGATGGGGGGGGGGAACTAAACGTCTGTTTTTTACATGAAACAAAGCGCGCCGAATAGCCAAAAATTTTGTGCGATCATTTCGAGCAGCTGTCTGCCTACCTGGGTAGTCAAAGCCGCCTTGCAATGGCCACAACTGCTGAAGGGACCGATAATACGGCTTGAGCCCTTACTCGAAGAGCACATGTAAAGCTATTTGAGTAGGGGCAGCGATCCTGTGTTAGTTTTTGCCGCGTCGTGGCGTTGGCGCGCTTCGCGCGGATATCCGGCTGCAGACTGTCTAGATACTAGGATGATGACCTGTGACTCTTTGAAATTATAGTGTTAACTAAAACTGTTACAGTAGTAGAGTGTTTCAGTATAGTTTACAAACCATCAATGAGTCTTTATCTTAACAAAGGTTATAATTACATTTTAATGGTTACACAAAAAATTAACTTTTTACCCGTTAAATTTGGCAGTGGCTGGAGGTACGCAGGCGTATCTTAATTGAAGTTAATGTCTCGAGGCTACGGGTACGCCAGTCCATTCGCTTTCATACTTAACGAGACAAGATGGCGGCGGTCGCGCCAGATTTCGAAATAACGCCTTGGGAAATAAATTCACGATTGAGAGTTTAGATGAGCAAGAACCCTAACCCTAAACCTAACCCTAACCATAACCTAAACCTAACCCTAACCTAATCCTAACCCTAACCCTAACCCTAACGCAAAAAAGGGGCTTGAACGACCGACGGCTGGCGTACCTCCAGCCACTGCGTTAAATTTGACTAGTTGACACCTGTTATACCCACTTAGTATCACAATACATTTATTTGTATAGATCCCAATGTAACCGAGTAAGACCCGAGTAAACAACTGTAGGTCCAAACATGTTACTTGGTTTAAACTAGTACTTTTTTTTTTATCAACCAAGGGGGGTTACAGAAACCAAATAACCCCCCCCCCGGATACGGCCCTGATATTATAGCGTGCACTGTTCTGTGTTCATCTTTGGCAACCGTTTCTTTGTTCCATTAAAGGGAGAGTTTACTCTAGGTTCTATAGGGTTATTTTCAGCTAATTTAGGTTATAATTACGCTACATAAAAAGTTTCATGGTTCAATCACCATTAGAAATATTAAAAAAATGTTTTAAACTAACGACTCCAGTTTGATTACAACGACGGTGGCGCCACTCAAAGCGCACGATCTGATAAGTTGCGCAAAACCACTTTCCGGCCAAGGGCTACAGACCGAGGGTGTTTCTTATTTATTCATTTAAAAGCAAAAGGATTGTAATATCTTATAAACGACATATAGTTTCAGTTATAATAATGGATAAATTTGCCCTAAAATGAATATCGTTCGGTTAAATAGCATTTAGGTATAAATATAATTGCACTTTTGTGATTAGCCCTCGGTCTGTAACGTGCAAAATAAATTGTCAAATACGCAACTTTTTCGGGGTGGCAGCACGGTCGCGGGTGTCATGGCGCCGTTCAAATTTCGTAGCGTTGATGTGTAATTAATTATAACAATTAAATTAGGTATCTGCATGGTAACAAATACGTGTGGGTTTAGACGATTTGTTATACAGTAAGTACAGTTGTATGCAGTAAAATCCTAGAGGCTACTGTCCCTTTAAGGCAGTGCCAGTGTCTAAACGACCGGACCCGGTTTCGGAGTCCTGAATCTTTTATTCTTGTTTGATATTATCAGGAGTAGATAATAGGGAGGAGTGTGACATCAATAAACAAGGGAAATTCATCATTTACTAGCGGACAATCGGACACAGTACATTCGCCCATCATCGTATCAAATCGTTTCCTCGTAGACACCCGCAATCCGTAGATACAGCCTAAAACGTACGACACGATTCTCCATTCTCTGGCCATCAATCCAACCATTGCGCGCCTATAATTCAAACAAAAGGCAGCTACCTAACGCGCTATTGCTAACTGAGCGAGGCATGTGGCTCGCTGGGAGATTAGGCATCAACACTTGGCGAGATAACCTTTGACCCGGTACACAGCTACACAGGCCACCTTTGTACATAGCTGGCATGCCTTCACGCACGCACGCCAACCAAATGATTAGCTCGTCGAGTGTTGCGTCGATCTCCAATCTCCTGCGAGCCACAACGCCACATTCAGCTATCGAGAGAGCAAACAACAGCCAGGTTGCTGCTTTGTCTGAATTATAGGCGCGCAATGGGCGTTGGATTAATGGCCAGAGAATGGAGAATCGTGTCGTACGTTTTAGGCTGTATCTACGGATTGCGGGTGTCTACGAGGAAACGATTTCGTACGATGATGGCGAATGTACTGTGTCCGATTTGAGCTCAAGTTGGATGAGTTACGCGTAGTAAATCGTAGGTATTATAAGGCTAGTAAATGACGAATTTCCCTTGTTTATTGATGTCACACTCCTCCCTATTATCTACTCCTGATATTATCGGTGCAAAAGCTCTTAGCTTATGTTACAATGTTCATGATATACCGATGAAAATAAATTTTACTTGAACTTGAACTTGAACTTGAACTTGAAAACTAAACAACCGGCTCTCTTCTTTGATTGGTCAGTTTCCGAACATAACAGGGATGGGGGGGGGTCAGGGGTTATGGGGTTCGAACACGGTACCTTAATTACTATCACCTCTGCTATCACGAAGCGAAAGCTCTATACTGTTGAGCCACTCAGACAAACTTAAAAGTTTTGGATATAGACCCTAACCCTAATCCTAACCCTAACCCTATCCCTAATTCTAAAATATAATAAAATTAGCCAAAAATAATAAAAAATAAAATAAATAAGTGACAAAATTAGCCAATCAGAGAAGAGAGCCGGTTGTTTAGTTTTCAGGACTCCAAAGCCGGATCTGGTTGTTTAGGCACTTCCGTGTAGCCAGTACAAATTTGGATGCATCTTCGTTTCTGTGATTTATTAAGTACAAATTTGGATTAAACCCGTTCCGTGTTTTCATAACAGCGGAAGATATCACGTGTACACGTGATTAAAATTTGGATTGTATGCATGCCTAATTAAGACTCCTTAATTAGATTTATAATTGATCTCCTTAGAAGTTCAATATCATTAGATTTCGGTCCTGATTCTAAATAGTAATGGTGCAGGACCGTTGCGGTATATGGCACCGGAAAGTGGGGGGTTACATATCAACAGAAGCGATGGTTCTCCACTGGTGTTGTGAATGTCTTGGGTGACGTGGTTGTAAATCTAGCACGTAATCTACAGTGGGCAAAAAAAATCGGGTGATACTCCATTAGGAGTGTTCCCAACTTTAATGTCATTAATGGTCATAATAACATATATATATATATATATATATATATATATATATGGTCATCGTCATATATTAGTTTGTGGTTTAATGTCATTTAGGTTAGGGTTTGTAATAGTATTCGACAAGTCTTGGTTGTAGTTAAGATAATTTATTAAGCACGAACGAAGTTACAAAGTTGACAGGGGCGCTGTCATGTTGGATTGCTTTACTCGCGTACAGCGCTTATAATAGATGGCGCGTCGGTGCAGTGCATGAAATAATATTAATACTGCTACATTACCCCTACCACAAGAAAAAGAAAGTTCAAACATACGCGATTTCGCGTGTGGCAGTGAGGCGGTATATATACCGATTCAAATATACGTGGGATATAGTAGTTCACGAGTCGTTTACGTACGGTTAGCGTTCGTTAACTACAGTATTGAAAAATCTCGATTCAGTAACGTAGGTACGCGGGTAGTCTATAGAATTGAAAAGTCTGTGACGCGCAGCAAAGTAAAAAAACAGATGGTCCAAAGACATGACGACACACAGCCAGTCCAGAAAACCTGGGTAATCAGGCGTTCTGGTGACTTCCCTTTGCGACCGGACCTTCTGGTAGTTGAATCGGATGGTTGTTCTGGTGGTTCCGCAAATGAAACGCGTCGCGGCAGAGTAGGTTCCACTGGCGGTGGCGGATCAGGCGGCGACGGTCCTGGTGGGGACACTACGTCTTCTGGAACTTCGCGGATATGTTGACGATTCCTGCGCAATGTATGACCGTTAGGTGTCTGAACGATATATGAGCGGGGTTGGTCACACTTCGATTGAATGGTTGCAGGGTTCCACTGGCGAGTCTCGGGGTGCTGGATGCGCACATTTTGACCGGGTTGCAACTGACGTAGCTCACATTTCCTCGCGGTTCTGTCATGGTAGAATTTCTGTGTCTGTTGGCGAGATAGAAGTTCCCTGTGTTTCAATTTGTTTTCATTTTATTTTCATCCTTGTTATTCAATGTGTTCATTGGCTCGGCGGGCAGAATTGTCTGTAGTTTCCTACCGAGTAGCAGTTCCGCAGGGCTGGCCAGCTTGTTACTGATCGGGGTGGCCCTCAGCATCAGTAGAGCAAGGTCAAAATCGGTGTTCGTGCCCTTTGCCTTCTTGAGCGTGTGCTTCACAGTTTGTACAGTTCTCTCTATGAAACCATTTCCTTTGGGTCGGCGTGGAGAGGTGGTGACGATCTCGAATCCCCAGTGTGCGGCGAATGCTCGGTATTCCTGACTGTTGTAGTGGGGACCATTATCACTCACGACACGTTCAGGAATTCCGTGCTCTCCGAACATCTGTTTCATAGCGGCGATGACGGTTCGACTTGGGCAACGCGACGGCATCTTTCGCACAAGGGGAAATTTCGTGTAGTAATCCCCTACGACAAGGTAGTGCGATCCATCGTATTCGAACAGATCCGTTGCGAGTGTGTGCCATGGCCTAGGCGGTATTGCGTGTGGGAGTAGCGGCTCGGCAGGTTGTGACGGTTGCGCTTCCTGGCACGTCTCACATTTGGCGACCAGTTCGATTATGTCCTTTGTGACGTTTGGCCAAAAGACAGTTTCACGGGCAAGCAGGAGAGTTTTCTCACGACCAAAGTGTCCAGCATGTAGCTGTTGCAGGGTATCCTGTCGCAGACCTTTCGGGATGAGGATTCTCCTTCCTTTGATGACGAGGCCATCGTGGACGGTTAGCTCGTCGCGGTAACTCCAGTACGGCTTTAGCTCGTTCGGCAGATCTTTCATGTCATCCGGCCATCCAGTAACGATTATCTCCCTTAGGTGGTTGAGCGTTTCGTCTTGCCTCATTTCGTCTCTGAGCTTCGCTTGGCTACTAGCGGTGAAACGGGTGTGGTCCACTCTGAGGTCGAGGTCGATCGTTGTGGCATTTGCAGGCGATGGTAGGCGGCTTAGTCCATCTGCTAGTTGATTTTCACGACCTGGTCTGTAGACGATTCTCAGGTTGTAACCTTGCAGTTTAACCATCAGGCGTTGCAATCTTGGAGGTGCGGCTGCTAGTGGCTTGTCGAGGATCATCACTAGCGGCTTATGATCGGTAATGGCTGTGAACGTGCGTCCATATAGGTACATATGGAATCTCTGGACTCCAAAAACTACTGCCAGTAGTTCTCGCTCGATGCAGGCATACCGTTGCTCTGTTGGCGTCAGGCTCTTGCTTGCGAAGGCTATCGGCTTCAGCTTGTCGTCATCCGATGGCTGCAGTAGGGCTGCTCCGAGACCACGTAAGCTCGCGTCACACTGAAGGTAGGTTTCCTTCTTCGGGTTGAAGTATCGCAACAGCGAGTTATCAGAGACAGTGTTCTTAAGGTTCTCGAACACTTTCTGGTGGTGAGCTTCCCAAATGAAATCTACGTCTTGGCGGAGGAGATCTCGTAATGCAGCGGACTTGGTGCTGTAGTCTTCGATGAAGCAAGATAAGTAGGTCATAAGGCCAAGAAACTGGTGTAGCTCGGTCTTGTTGACGGGCTCAGGCATGGCTCTCAGATCGGCGACTTTCTTGGGGTCAGGTTTCATGCCTTGATCGGTGTAGACGTTTCCGAAGAATTCAATGCTAGACTGCTTGATGGAGCATTTCGGCGAGTTGAAGACGAGACCGTTGGCTCCGGCAACTTCCATCAAGTTGAGCAGGTTTGTGTCATGCTCGGCATCGTTGTCTCCATATACGATGATGTCGTCTGATATTCCACAGACTCCTGGGCAACGTTCGATGATTCGATCCATTTCAAGCTGGAATATGTCTTGGCTGACAGAGAGGCCAAAGGGAAGGCGGCAGAAACAGTACCGACCAAAAGGCGTTTGGAAGGTTGTGAGTTCCTGGCTTTCTTCATGCAGCTTGACGGCCCAATAACCAGATTTAGCGTTGAGCTTTGAGAAGACCCGTGCCGTTGCGAGTTTGTGGTTTATGTCATCAATCGTTGGTGTGACATGGCGAGGCCTGATGAGAGCTCGGTTAAGGTGCCTTGGATCTAGGCATATCCTGATGCTACCGTCTTTCTTGGTAACATACGTGATGGTGCTAACCCATTCGGTTGGTTCCTCGATTTGGCGTATGACACCTTGTTCGACCATCTCATCCAGTTTGGCCTTATCGACACTAGGCGGCCTGTTTGGATCAACAGCGAGCTTGTGTATGGACTTAAACTCACCAATTCGATCAAAACGGTTGGGGTACCGTTCCTTGAGGTCATCGATGGATTTAATGACTGGCTTACTTGAGACTGTAGGCTGTCTATGCGCTGGAGCTTTGGCTTGCTCTATGGCACAGTGCAGTATGACAACGTTCATCTTACTGCACGATGGTAGTCCAAGGATTGCGGGTCCTGGTACATCGACTAGGAAAAAGTCAGTGAAGTCCCATTCAGAGTCCTTGTATCGGCAAGGGACGGCAATGGTGCCGAGGCATTTAATGGGTGTTCCATTGTACGCTACGAGTCGACATTGTGACGGTATCAGGTTGGCATCCTGCGTGTCTGGAAACATCGCGCGGTACGTTCGCATAGGCAGAAGGTTGGCCTGGGCTCCGGTGTCGACTTTCAGCATTAGGTTGGCAGGCTTGTGGCGTATCTGGACATCGATCTTAACGAAGGCTTGGTCACACCAGTCACGTATGTTGTTGACAGCATGGAAAGTGAACACCTCTGTTGGGTCATCACCCTGCTGGCGGCTAGGATAACTCAATGGTTCCTGATGGATGGCGTCAACATTTGGCGATTGTTGTTGGCGATGCCTGGACTTATTTTGATGATGAGGTCTAGAATCACGCTTCTTGGATTCGAATTGCTGGGCTTTCGTTATTCAACAGCATTTCTTCCAGTGACCTTTGTTGCCACATCCATCGCTGGTGGCTTCATACGCAGGGCATTTGCGAGGCGGGTGGTTGCAACCACAGTTACCACACTGGCGGGGTTGTGACTTGGATCTATGACGGTCGAAGTTGCGACTATTGCCAATGGCATCGACGTTCGTAGACGAGTGTGACTCAGCCATCCGGTTGAGCTCCTTGACACTTGATAATGTAGCTTCGTACGTTCGCCTAGTGTGAGAGCAACATCTAGGCCATAGTTTTTTTTCTTTTCTTCAGCAGTTCCTTTTGGAATTCAGGAATCGGCGTACTTGCGATGATAAGTTCCACTAGGTGTTCGTATAGTTCTGCGTTGCTGAAATCACACTTCAGCGCGACTGCTTTTGCTCTGGTGATGAAATCGTCAAAACTTTCATCATGACTTTGGCGAAAATGCCTGAGCTTCAGACGACAGATTCGAAAATTATTTGTTGGCTCGATTTGTTGTTCGAATTTTGTCCAGAGGTAGCCGGGATCCTCTTGTTGGTCAGCCGTCAGCATCCACGTGTTATATCTCCAAAGACGTTCTTCACCGACAGCCAGTAGAATGTGTGTGACGGCCATCTCCCCCTCTATTTTCTTGATTTTGAAATAGAGTTCACACCTTTGACGAAAGATTTTGAACGTGGCTGGCAAGTCAGAGCCAGCCCAGTCCATTTTAGGCATCTTGACATCCCCCATGTTGCAGGTAGTAGGCAGGCAGGTAGGTAGATAGCTTGTATACAGCAGCAACAGGCGAGCCGGTATGGCGTGTACAGTCTATGTATACAAATGCACTACAGCAGCGTGGTCAGGACGGGCGGTCGTTTTGGCATCAAATACGTATACAGATTTGGCATCAAATTGGGCAGAATTTGGCATCTACGTATTCTTGGAGCGTTGTTCTTCGCACTGCTGCCACCATGTAATAGTATTCGACAAGTCTTGGTTGTAGTTAAGATGATTTATTAAGCACGAACGAAGTTACAACGTTGACAGGGGTAATGCTATCCCCCGGGCGTGGAGGGAGGTGACCGCAACGTGGCAGCACTAGTGTTGGGATAGTGTTAGGATTAGGGTTAGGGTCAGGGTTAGGGATAGGGTTAGGATTAGGATTAGGGTTAGGGTTAGGGTTTTTGCATCATGATATCTGTCCCCCACACCATAGATTAATTTTTGTGGATCACAATGCCTATAAATAGCGCGGCGAGACATATATATTTAGTGTGAGGGTTAGTGTTGGCGGTGTTGGAGTGAGGGTTACCGTTAGGGTTGACGTTTTGAACGTCATCGTCAACGTTATCACGTGACCTCCCTCCACGCCCGGGGGATAGCAACACCCACGTTGACAGGGCGCTGCCATGTTGGATTGCTTTACTTGCGTACAGCGCTTATAATAGATGGCGCATCGGTACAGTGCATGAAATAAATATGAATACTGCTACAGGGTTAGGGTTAGGGTTAGTATTATCAATCCTTAATCATTAATCATTAATGATATCAAAGTTGGGAACACTCCTAATGGAGCATTAGCCAAAAAATCAGTGGGACATCAACCGTTGACGTCAACTGACCATCAACCGAGGGTCTAAAATGAAAGTATTTCTGACATCAACCGTTGACGTCGTATTGACATCACACATTGACGTTGTATTGACATCACACATTGACGTTGTATTGACATCACACATTGACGCTGTATTGACATCACGCATTGGCGATGTATTGACATCACACATTGACGTTGTATTGACATCAACCATTGACATTATAATGGGATTAATCCATTGATTTTCATTTGAATTAATAATTAAGTGCAATATGCTAAAACAAGCACAAATTTAAAATTCTACGATGTCTTTATTTTCATTCTCAATTCAAATACAATTCAATACAAATCTCATTATATAGTTTCTTCTTCCACTTCCCCTCTTCTTCCACTTAGCATTTGTTAAAATGCGTTGTATTGCTTCACTGACTTGGTGTTTGTGCACCCATCCACCTGGTTCATTGCAGCAGCTGAAATTATAATCACATCATAAATTATACGTTTTATAATATTATCTCTATATTATTTTTTAGAGATATTTCAATTAAATATAATATTTTGAGATCTTACAATTTTATGGGTTAAGATTACTATAAATTTGATAGTATATTGGTGTACCCCATATTGTCAAAACAACCATCTTTTTTGTAACGAAATACTGTAAATATATAAGCACTAATTAATATTTTCCGTCCATTTTATTTCACATTTTTATGTTTGGACACAAAATTAATAGGTTTACAGTAAACAATTACGATTACAATCAGAACTTATACCTTAATTGTATCACTTTGACTAGACTTGACTTAATTCCTAACTGACATCTTGTATCTTGTATCTTGTATCCACTCATATTAATGTTCTCCATAAAGGAATTTACACATCAAGCTAAAAACAAAAATTGGACTTTACACATCAGACCAATATGACATATTGTACTAAAAGCTTTTGAAAACTCAAACAACATATTAATAAAATACTTATTATAATTATGTTATAATATACCCCCCCCCTACTTATACCTAAAAATATAAAAGGTTATTTAGGCAAGCAATATTAATTGGTTATTTTAATCATATATTGAACATTGATTGCGTGATTTTAAAATACACTCACTTTCCACAAATAATTTGAAACAATGTCCTTAAGGTCTTTTCCCCTTTTCTGGACATCTGGCCAATCTCAAAAATCCAAACAAAAGTGATGTCAGACTATTGAAAATGCCTCAATAGTAGCTCATGGTATAGCTTCAAGTCGTTTTTTGTATGAAGAATAAATTTCGAAATTGCTCTGTTGTGCTGTGATCTACTGCGAAACTCGTAGAATGATTGTTAGCAGGCCCTTCTATTATATTTGCAGTCTCGACATCCCTGAACCTTTTAATTATTGTTTTTCTTTTAGATTTTAGTGGTATATAAAATTGGCCGTGGCGCCTCGACCAGTAACTGGTCGCCAATGTTCCGTGGCTAAACGACCGGATAGACGCAATTAATCAACAGCGACCGGATTGAAGAACTGTTAATTCGTTCGCACAATATCGTGCGTACCTGCGTTCGTACGCACAAGCAGGCATTTAGGTGGCATTCACGAAGAGTTCTATTCGTCAGAATCATTCTATTTCGTGCGTACGGTACGCAAACTAGCGATCATCCGCATGCACAATAATTGAGTTTTGAAACGACATTTTATGCAGAGATAACGAAACAAACGCTAATAACATGGCTGTTAACTGTCCGTCTGTTGACGTTGATTCCGAGTTTTGCGTATGGGGAATAACGACCTGTAAAACGAAAACCTACAGTTCTGTTCATAGCACGAGAGTTTTGAGTAGCCACGAAGATGGGGCACGGCTCGAAATACTTATATAACTTTGTTGGCTAATGTGCGCGCGTCCTATAGCCGTCAAAAACGGAATTTAAACGTTTTTTCCGTCGAGACACGCCCACGGCAACTGTCAATCACCACGTGCTCGCCACGCCCGTGCGTGGACGTGATAGGCCAGCTCTGTTGCTGTTCTTTACCCGTAGTTTAAACCGGCCAGGCTGAGCNGCCTGTTTTGACCTATGTTTGCGTGGCTCTATCGAGTTTGCATATAAGGAATAACGACCGGAAATCAGCTAGCGGAGAGTTCTGTTCATAGCACGAGGTTCTTGAGATAGCCACGAAATGAGGGGTGCACCGGCTCGAAAATTCTTCACAAAATTGTTGTGTGTGGCGGGTAATGTGCGCGGCGTCCTTATACCCGTCGAAAACGGAATTTAAACTTTTTCCGGTTCGAGCACGACGCCCACGGAAGTCTGTCAATCACCGACACGTGCTCGCCACGCCACGCCAGCTCTGTTGCTGTTCTTTACCCGTATACTCTAAACCGGCCAGACCGGCGCCGGCGGCTATGCCCCGTAGCAACGTGTACATAGTACACGTTTCAAACATCGAAGCCATTCTACATGAATTAACATAAAGGTTTCTACACGGCATTCACTGCAAGCCTCACAAGGCGACGGCAGTAGACGTATATATAACCACCGGGCGGGCCGGTTGAACTCGCCCTCCCCCCACACATCTCGTCTCGCTCCCCCGTGTGTCATGCGCCGCGCTCATCATATAATGCATTTCGGAACTATTCTACGCTGATGATGGATCATGTCACGACTGTGTGCTGATGAAGTCGCTCGCATTCGCCTGTATACAAGGTAAACGTCACGTATTGACCATAATATAATCTGTGCACACGCACACGCATACGAACTCGCACACGCAGTGACACACTCACACGCACACGCGCACGCATACGCACACGCACAGGCACACACACGCACACACAACGACACACAAACATGCACGCGCGCACACGCACGCGCGCACACGCACGCACGCACACACACACGCGCACACGCACTCGCACACACAGTGACACACTCACACGCACACACGCACGCATACGCACACGCGCACACACAAGGACACACAAACACGCATGCGCTCACACGCACGCACGCACGCACACACACAGACGCACGCACACGCACACGCACTCACACACACAGTGACACATTCACACGTACACACGCACGCACGCACGCACGCACGCACGCACGCACACACACACGCAGTTATGACCAGGGGCCCGTTGTCAGAAACATCGTAAACCGCGCACGATCGCGATCAGAATGAAATCTGATGTGTGGCGCGCTGAATTTCATTGTCACTTTCAAGAGATATATTTCGACACTCATACAATGACATCGGTTGGAACTGCTGTTTTCAACGTGCTACATATAATAAGCATGTATGGTATGTCACCCGCCGTATTGGGCTTTATTGTTTACCGTGTGAGTTCCGTGTCGGTCCGCTGCATTTTGCATTTTAAATTTTGATTAATTGAGTTGTTTGATTGCACAGAGTGCGCATCGCATTCAGTGATAGCTCTACGTTTGTGTCATCGTTCTTGTTTTTGTGTAGTGCTCATGGCATTGTTGCATGCAATGTCGGAGTTGTATTAAAAGCGCAGTTACATTCCCTGCGGTTCCCCCAAATCAACCTGAATTACCATGCACGCATTTCTGGCTTTATTACTGCTATTGCTGTTAGCATAGGCGTGCCGTCGTCCCGTTACCT